AGAGAGAAACACTGACCGGTTGCCTCCTGTATGTGCCCTGACTGGGAATTGAACTCACAACCTTTTGATGTATGGGATGACACTCCAACCAGCTGAGCAGTTTGGCCAGGGTTAGACCATATTCTCTTAATTCATATATTTTTTAATGAAAGTCTTTTGTCCTGAAAAAAATCTGGGAGTAGAAAACCACACTTGGTCTCACACTGCAGGTGCACTATAATCCCAGGCACCCCCAGTGGAATCTGCTTCAATTGCAGGCAAAGTCCCCTGGAAGAAACAACAAACTGCCAAAGAGCATACCCACTTTTCTGAAAGGCTACAAACACTAAGTCTGCAAACAGAGACCCATAGTTCTCTGCACGTGAATCACTGATGTACAATCATTATCTGAAAATGGAATCACTATGATGTCACAGACATATACAGATTATTTTTCAGTATGTGTAGATATGATTAGCAAAATACAATGTCATCTAGATGAGCTTCAAAATTCATAGTGTCTTTTTGTTTATGTATATTTTCTTCCTTCATAGATCATGAAAATATAATTATTGTCACGTGAAAGGTTTCCCAAATTGTTCAGTGTTACAAAGGGACTCTCATACTTAGAAAGACCAGGGATGCATTAAGGGAGGGCTGACAGCAGTGAAGAAACCAAACACCTTGGCAGGCCATCCTAGAGGATGCTCCCAAGGTGAATTCAGATGGGACTTCTAGTTGGCCTGACCAAAAGGAGCTTCCACTGTAACTTTGTACTAAAGACTGTAAGTCCATCCATCAGAACAGCAAAGAACTATAATATTGTGGTGATATTGCAACCTAAGTGTTTATTTGGGAACTTGGGAGAAACAAGAACAGATGATGTTTGGGAAGTATTTGTTCCTTCAGCTAATCATGCTGGCACATGGTGAACAGTTCACTTTGGATCACACTCAGGACACAGATACACTCGTGCCATCTGACCATGGGCTCTGGTTGCTAAAGACACCGTCTTTCCTGGATGCCTTCCTTAGCAATGTGTTCCTTAAAGGACTGAAAACACAGCAGTCCACTCAGAGGGGGAGCTTGGAATGGCAGAAACACCTGAATGCACAGTAATTACGCACAAGACCTGTTTGAAGAGGCACGGAGAAATACTGTTCATAAATTGACTGCTGAACAATTGCAACTCAGGAGAAAAAAAAGACCATTAGCTTAGCAGTCTGTGAAGTCTTACTTCCTACCCAGGCCTGGTAATGGGGGATGTTTAACATTCACATGACACAGCCAAGACAGGGCAAAGAGAACCAAGGATTCTCCACTGTGGAGAGAAAGCAGCCGACAGTCGCAACCCTGCCCTTCCCATTTAAGCAGGCCTCTGTGTACAAGACGAGTCTGCAGAAATAATCTGTATGGGGCTTCACCATGTCTTTGTGCTTATTTGGAGCTCAAGCTGGTGAAGCCTCCAATCTAGCTTCTCAGAGAAGGGACTGGGGCTCCATCACAGAGCTCTGAAGAGGACCAATGACTGATTCGGTGACACAGGGACCAGGCCCACCATATCCATGGCTAATTTCTGTGATTCTCACCTCTGCCTGCATCATATATAACATAAAAAGTACAAAATTAAAAAACAAAGAAAGTATGAGATTCTCCTCACCCCCTCCAGTTTGTTCACTGCCTGCTGGAGGCTGGGAAACCATGGCTTCCCTCCTGCCAGGCTTCCACATGGTGGACTTTCATGCACATCTCTGCTAAAGGGCACCAGGCATCAGGTTTTCTGGTGGGTGGTCACAGCTCCACATATGGACACTGAGCAGTGAGTGGGACATTCCACAACCCCACCCCGAGCAGCTGCCAGCCAGCTGAGGTGGTCATTGCTGCAGGTCTGGCCAAGAGCCAAGCTTCTAGAAATTCTGCCAGTGCTAAATTGCATGCATTAAACCCTCTTCTGCTAAATAAACTCTTGTGCATCCTGAAGAGCACAGATGCTAAAGGTGCAGTTGACCAAGATGCAGAAATCTCATAGGAAGACTCCTTGGTGTGAAATTGTTTATGGAAGGACATGTCCAAGGAGGAAGCTCGTATATACACAGGAAATCTACTGAGGTGATGTGCAAAAGAGCACGGACAACGATGTCCACTGCCGTGCTGTTACTAAAGACAAAGGTTGAAAATGCTCTACCTAAACGTCCATCCAAAGAGGGCTTAGGCAAGTAAGCTGAGGCCTACCCATATGATGGAGCTTCTCACACCACAAGAACTAGTGCTACAGAAGACTATCTAATAATGTGGAAATGAGACTCAACACATATTACTAATTTTGAGAGGCATCCCACAAAACAAGACCTTACTGCTTTTTAAATATATACCTTTGTGCATATGTGCATATATAAATATCCAGTATAGCACAGACAAATATTGGAAGGATATGGCCCCAAATGTTGCCAGGATCCTGCTCATGATCTGGAGTGCTGGAAATAGAGACTATCTGTTACGGTGGACCTGGCCCTGAGCCACGCAAGGGACCAGTCAAAGAGCAGACTGGCTGGAATGAGCCAAATGACAAGTCTGGTCCAAGCCCCAGACGACAGGCAGGCCTGCTCTACACCAAGTTCCCTATCTTTCCGGCCTTCCCTGCTTGCTGGCTTGGCCAAGTCCTGTCCCCAGCAGTTCCTCCACCACCTAGAGACCCACCTGGGCTATCCTAAGACCCATGAAGTACATCCAGTAATTCCAGTTCTAAATGTGGTGCCAGATGAGCCCTGCCTTCTCAGTTCCAAGGCCCACATTTGCTCACAAAGGCCATGCAGGCAAAATGACACTGGCCAAGCCTTGGAAAACAGATGACTCAGACCTTCAAAGTGCTTGTGTTTATATGTCAAGAGCCCATTTTCACCCAGAGAGTATACTGAAAATGCTAATCTACGGTGCTTAAAGTATTTGACTTCCAATGGAACATGCAGCTGACACCTAGCAACTGTCCAAAAATAGGTGACCAATTCTATTCCTGTGGAAATGATTCCAGTTCACAGAGAATGAATGAATCACCAGGTGGAGTGGTGTGACCACGTGGTTCAGATGTCATGTGGGTGGGTCTGACCCCCCAACAAACCCCGCCTCCGCCTCCTCACTTCCATGAGCAGAGTCAGCACAGCAGCTTCTAAGTCACAAAGCCTCCTTGCAGAAAGGACCCACAGAAAGTTCTTGGTACCACTCTTTGGGAGGAGGAGGGTGAGAGAAAACATGAACCATTAAGGTATTAAATCAACACGGCCCCCAGTGACTAGGATTTAGGTGTAAACCCAGGTTAGAGTAGCAGGTGCAGAGAGGAAATGGGGCTTCCGAATGGCTCACAGGATGTCCCATGTTGGCTAGAATAGTGAACTCATGAGATTCAGGTCTGTGGAAAACATTATGCTAAGCAAAATAAGCCAGAGAAAGACAGACACTGTACAATCTCACTTATACGTAGAATCTAATGAACAAGCTGAACTGACAAACAGAAACAGGAGCTTAGAAACACAGAACAGACTAACAGTTGTCAGAAGGGAGGGGCCTCAGGGGGCTGGGTAAAAAAGGGTAAAAGGATTAAGCAAAAAAAATTATATATATATACATCTTACATAGACACAGATGCAGAATGGTGTCAGCCAGAGGGAAAGGGGGTGGGAAAGGTGGAAGAAGGCAAAGGGGAGTAAATGGGGACAGAAAGAGACTTGAGTTGGACGATGGGTGCACAATAGTGTGCAGATGTTGATATGCTAGCTGGTATCTAATGGTGCTAAATATTCTTGTATATCATGACCTGATATGGTCATGGTATACAAGAGGTACCTAATTTAGGTCTTAATTCACTTGAAACCTCCATGGTTTTGTTAACCAATATCACCCCAATAAACTCAATAAATAAAGGGCCCAAGTCTGAGTCTCTGCCCTGCAACAAAGTGAGGCCTCTACACCCACTGCATCTGTTCCTATACCTGTCAGGTGCAGACACTGTGCCTGACCACAGAGATGCAACCAGACCAAAAGAGCTGGAAGTTGAGACTGCCTTGCACAAGGCTCAAAGCAGCATATATAGTGTGGCTAGTGAATGAATGACCATTCATTCCCAAGGTCACTCCTTTCCTGAGGAGCTGAGAGCAGAAACCAGCCCTGAACACTCTTCAGTGCCCATCTGCAAACCTAAAGTGGGAGTGAACAAGCTACATAAGCCTGTTCAAACCTACCCCTGGCTCCAGAGGTCCCCAAGCACCACAGGCTCACCCACCTCAATGAGACAATGGCTTCACAAAAGTATACCAAACCTGGAAACTGAATTTAAGGGGCCAATTTAGTGTTCTGTAATGTCCTTTGTTGTACTGTTTGAAAACATTCAATTCTGAAGAAAAGACAGCAAAGGAAATGGATGACTTGTAAGATATATTAAGTATAGATAAATAGTCGGGAAGTAAAGCACATGTGTATTAGACACAGATAGAAAGCTGTGGGAGGACCAAGAGACACCTACTGTTCATGAGGCTACATACAGCCAGGTAGCTAGCTGGGTAGTAAATGTTCATGATATGCTAACTGGTATCTAATGGTGCTAAATATTCCTGATATGGTGGTCATGGTATACAAGAGGAACCTAATTTAGGTCTTAATTCAGTTACCCACTGGTGACACCCATTCTGGTCCTCTAATCCACGGCTACTGGCCAAGTCTCTGGCAAGCCACAGATGTGGCAGCACAGAACTGTCCCTACACTTGCCAGTAGGACCACATGTGTGTCACTGGCCTGGCACCTCCCATCCATGGCCCCACTGCTAGTACTTTAACTCTGGTCTCTGTGACCACATATTAGTGGGAAAAACTGAAGCTGCAGAGCAAGATGGAACACACGAATGCTAGGGACCCTGGGCCTAGGGGCTTCCACCACCACCTCACACCCTCTCCTGCTTCTGTTACCTTCCCCATTTTCTTCCCCTTCCTTCTCAGTGTGTGTTGTAAATTGCACCAAGGTCATCATCACTCACCTGACACCTCCCAATAGCTCTTGTTGGGAGCACCTGGTACAGCAGATTTGCTCATTTTTCCTTACATGCCATCAGATCCCTGTGCAGAAGGACCCTTGATTGCTTTAGGTACTTTGCTAGGGGATCACCATTGGGAATTACAATAAGTGCTCTCTCACCTAAGGAAGACAGTGGAAGAGTAACAGCTATGAATAATTTATGAAGCATTTTCTCTACTGATATAGAATCTCAAGTGTGGTGTGTGTGTGTGTGTGAGAGAGAGAGAGAGATAGAATCACTAGCTCGCCAGCCCCATAGTACGGTGTGTCTGAGGTCACAGGTCCTGTAAGTGGCAGAGATGACACTGGAGTGCTGACTATCCACTGGTACCCCCTGGCTGGATCACCTGCTTTAAGAAAGTAAAACGCTGTCACATCCCACACTGACGGCGGCCGTTCTGATGGTGCTTTGTTGGGAAGCATGTGCTCCGCAGCTAACCCTTCTGCTGCCTCCCACGGACGTGAGAATCAGGGGCAGGAACCAACAGAGCTTGGTGTATGGACCTCAGATGGGAGGCAAGTCTTCGGGAAGTTGTCAATCTTCAGACATTAAAAATTAGTCCCACGCACCAGGGCCAGGAGGAGGCTTGAGCAAACCAATAACTTGCAATTCCTCACTTTTCAAAGGATCTTTTGTAACTTCTCTTCAAAGATACTTTAATAATAAGAAAAGTGTTGGAGAGCCCTTCCTACCAGGAAGCTGCACAGGAACAGTGCAAGTGCCTACTACTGGAGCTAGGAGCCGACTCTGGAGAAAGGCCGTCCCCAGTTGCTGGCCACAGCTGTCTATTGTGTCTTGTCAATCTGCGGAGCACTCGCATGGCATCTCCTGGTTCATGACGCACTGAGTCAGGATTAAGGGTTAAACCACATTAAAGCAATATAAAGAATTCTAAGGTAATTCATCAGAATCACAAATGTGTCTGAAGGACCTACTACCTGACCTAAAACTTTGAAATGATTTCTCAGAGGCAGATATCTTAAAAAACAGGATTAAATGAAAATTCCTCTGATTTCTATTAGGTTGGAGAAAACACAGCAACTTAGAATGTTGCCCTACCTACAGGTGGTACTAACTGTACCAGGGTTTACAGGTACCTAGACAATGAAAGGGATCAGCAGGGCACCAGGTAGAGTCCAGCCACAGCTGAGCCCCAAAAGGCTACCCTGGGCAGGTCCTTCTGTCTCCAGGGGTTCAAGAGCTCCTTCTTATGGGAACTTCTTTTTCATCTCATGTTCATGTGGCCAAGACTTAATGTTACTTAAAGTCCCACCTCCTCCAAGAAGCCTTCCCTGACCACTTTGCCTTCCACCCACCGAGCGTGTACAAAACCCAGGGATTTGGTGTTCAGCCTTGGGTCTCAAAAGAGGCTAATCCTAGTCAAGTAATTCCTAAGCACCCTGAAGAAGCAATTATGTCTGGGACTTTTCTGTATTTCCTCAATTGCTTTAAAGTAATGCCAACTACCCAGTAGACCATTCTGACGATGAAGAAAGCATGATGGATTGGAAGACATTAATCCACATGAAACTGACTTACTGGGATGGGCTCAGTACTGTACAAGCAGAAAGCGTTTCTCTTCTTCCCTCAATCAACGCTCCACAGCAGCTCTTTCTCCTGCTTCCTCCCAGCCCCTGACTGGTTTCTCCAGCAGTTCCCCCTACCCCAGCTTTCCCAGTCTTTTTCAGGTGATAAAAAGTCCAATGCGCATAACCCAGGTTGGAACCCAGAGAGACAGAGAAGGGGGGATGGAAGGGAGCTTCCTGTCTCTTTTCCCAGCTTGCTCCTCCCAGCACCAGGGTGCATGGCTGCACCTGACTGTCCACCAGCTCCCCCTTGGCTGGACCACCTGCTTTAAGAAAGTAAAATATCCTGACACTTTCACATCCCATATTGGTGGCAGCCATTCTGATAGCGGTTTCTTGGGAAGCATGTGCTTTACGGCAGGTAATGCTTCTGCTGCCTGCTGGTTTCTCCAGGGATGGGGAATTAACCCCAAACAAAGGGGGTTAAATGCCCTTTACACATCACAAGTGAAGCTTGGAAGCTTTCACCCGGGCATTACTCTAAGCCACAAAATACCGAGAAGTACAACCTAAGAAAGATTCCTGCCCCCCAGGTAGACAAAAAGCTCTTCCAGTACAGGGTGGGGGTGGAGAACCTGGCAAGCCCCCTCCCTCTTTGCACCTGGCCTGGAAGGGGACAGGGTGGTGAGGGAAGAAAGACCCCTGCGAGGCAAAGGGAGACGTGGAAGGCATGGAGAGTGTTGGTCCTGCTTCCTGCTGGGAACACTGGAGGTCACTCAGTACAGCATCAATGGCATCCTACCAAGGCCCCGACAACCTGGACAGGTGGTCCTGTGCCCAGTAGGGCAGGACCAAGAGGCAGGAGGCAGGTCCCCTGCTGTAGCTCACCCCAGTGACACCTGGCTAGACAACACTCAGTGGAAACATGAGCAGGCTCAGTGGTGGTGGAGGAGAGCTCATCAGAGGATCAGATGACCAATAAGAGGACACTCTCCTCCACACCCTGATGTGACCACAGCATACTCTGGGTGCCCAGAGACCACCAGCAGCAAGAATGGGCCCCATGGTGACCTGGAGAGATTGAGAGGCTGACTCTCAAGGGACCAAAGCAGCTTTAAACTAGATAGTGACTGAGATAACATCACTTGAATTAGGTTCAAGAAAATCACAATTGTGAGCTAGGACCAAATATAATGAAAGGAACCAAAGTCATTAGTTTGGGTAGCAAAATTAAATTATCTTAAAACAACGGCTGCACAGCACCGCGTGTACTTGGTCAGCTCTACCCCTTCCACAATAAGCCTGGACAAGAAACATCTCTACTCTGGCTCGCACACTTCTGTGGGAACCCATGCAGGATTTATGAGGGTCCATGCATGACAAGGCACAAGGCTAACTTCCAAAAGAAAAGCAGGTGGACGTAAGCTTACCAAGGCAAATCCAGGTCTACCACGCCATTGTGGAAAACTGACCAGCTAGGAGGGCCAGGCATTTCCACACAGTCTCCCATTTATTCCTGACAGCATCCTGTGAGCTGGCCATCATTACTCCCATTCTGCCAAGTAGCTAGCTGAGACTCAGCAAGATTCAGAGACAAGTGCAAGATGACCAAGCTCAGCAGTGATACTACTAGGATAAACACTCTTTAGCATCACCAGTATGCCTGGTCCTGCATAGCAGCCAGATGTGTAGCATCCATGGAGGGTCCACTGGCTTTCTTTTCTAAGTGAAAAGGTGTGCTTAGAGAGCTTAAGAAACTTGATCCTCAGGCAAGTCTAGAGCTGGGGTGAGGCAAGTAAGGCACTCACCTCAGGCACAAAATTTAAGGGGCACCAAAAAACTCCGTGAGATTGATGTTTTCATGCAGTGTTTTCAAACACCAAAATTAACACAAAATCCACATTGTAGATAACGTTACAATTTTAAATGAAGACAAGATCAGCATTACTTACTGATCTCAAGCTCCACCATGGAGAAGCCCAGCAGTGGGGCAGAGCCAGGAAGCCAGGCCAGCTCACCCCTTCTGCTCTAGTCCCCAAAGGCAGGGCCCCTAGACATCCCTGAACTGCATCATCTCTAGATATGCTTCTCCTCATAATTTTATGACCTTGAAGGACTCTTAGGAGTAACCACGATGGCCTGTCTTCTCTGGTGTGAGTGGTGTGGCTGAACTCCAAGGAGAATATGGGGTCTAAACAGATTCTGTTCCTTAGTCATGGGTGCCTTATGTAAATGAGGAAAACTTGCCCTTGGATAAGAGAGGATATTTTAAGACATCAGCTTGAGAAGGTGTGGGGTGGGCTCAAAAAGGATCACACAGCTGCTTGTCTCCCACTTGAAGGATTTCCTGGCTCACAATTAAGTGTTCAGCAGCGACACGACGCCAGCTGTCCGCCTGCACCCACACAAGTCCAAGTCCACGCTGGCATCCGTTTCGCTGTGCATTTCAAAAACCCAACGTCCGCTCATTTGAGTAACTACTTAGTTACAATTGTTAACCTCATATTAAAGCCATGCCTGTTAGGAAGTGTCAGTTCAACAAATATTTGTGGATTAAAAGTTTAAACACTTCTAAGATCAAACCCAGAATCCCTTACAGCTGGCTTGTACTAAACAAAGCCTAAAGCTTGTTTAACAGATAAACTATTACCTGAGTATAAGGAAGACAGTGAATGAATTTGTCCACATTTTCTCCTGCAGTGGCCTTTAGGGGCAGGAGACACAAATCTTTCCCATACTAACAAACTCTACCCTGCAAGACTGGCTCCCCTCACCTTTTATTTTCTTAACCCATTACCTGCCAGGCTTCGCCTCCCAAGTCAAAGTCAAGTCCGGCAAACTGAGCTAAAGGAAACTTCGAAGCGCACCCGGCTCACCTTGCCCCAGGCCCTGCCCCAGCGACCCACCCAGGGCGGTCCGAGGGGCAACTGCCCGCGCGGCCCTGCCCTCCGCTTTCCCGAACAGGGACACTGCACACCCGAGCCAGCTCGGTCCTCTAACCGCGCTTCGCCGGTTCTCAGCCCCCTTGCCCCGAAGCCAACCCAGGTACCAGCGCCCAGTACCTGCACAGGTGGCGGCGGGCTGCGCCAGCTCCCGTGCCGCCCGCGGCCCCGCAGGACCCTGAGGCCGGGACGCCGCACAGCAGGTGGCCGCTGGCCTCGCGACGGCGGCCGGAGTCCGGGACTCGCGCCGCTCGATCCTCCCGCGGCAGCGCGCGCGCTCCCAGTCCGCGCGGCTCGCCCGGCCGCGCCGCACTCCGCGGGGGCGGACGCCGTTCCGCTGGCTCGGCCGCCGCGCGCCGCCCCCGCCAGCCTCGCTCGGGAGCGTCGGAACGGTCCGCCCAGGGCGCCTGCCGGGAGCGGCGGGAGGGCGCGGGGCTGCGGGGGCGGCCCCTTCCCCACCTGCCCGCGCGGCGGCGCTGTCGGGGCCTCGAAGGGCGAGCGGGCGCCCCCGCTCCAGTGGCGCCCTCCCTGGACCCCTGGC